GCCCCTCCCTCCCCCTGGGGTTCAGCCTCCTGCCCCTGGGGAGCCTTGTAAAGCTCAGCAGCAGCCCAAGCCCTGCTGGGCGACGCTCACTGTCTCTGCCCCCGTCGCTACTCCCCATGGGTTCAGTCACTCGGAGCTTCTGAGCCAGCTCCTTGCTGGGCTGCTTTACCCTGCTCGATGGAGTCATCTCTCTCCTCTCCTCCCCAGGTTCATCGCTGGTCTGACACTCACCCCAGCCGGGCATGCGGGACTCCGGAGGGGACTGAAGAGCTTCTTCGTCTCTGGAGAGCTCCCTGACTGAACCTAGTCTCCAGAGCTCTCCCACAGACCCTACCAGAGCGGGCGAGGTGGGGAGGGGCCGCCATGGCAGACACACTGGAGTTCAATGAAATATATCAGGAGGTGAAGGGGTCCATGGTGAGAGATGCAGGAAACCTAGAAAACCGTGTCTTTGTGGGGATGGGTAACAAAGGGTCTGGGGAAGTGACATTATTGTAGCTGGTGCAGTGGTGTGTCTGCTGTTGAGCCTGTGGTTCTGAACTGTGGTTCTGATTTCATTATGGCTCTTAAGCTAAGCCCAGTCACAGCTGGCATGATGCCTGAAAGGAAAGCCAAGAAGCTATGGGTGCCTTGAGGGGGGACAGGAAGGAGGAGTGTGCTTTTTTTAGCCCTTTAGCCACTAGGGTGTAATAGTGTAGTCAATTAACTGACTAAGTAATAAGCAAAAGCTTATCAGTTAATGCTATAGACTACACGCATTTCTCCCCCCCTATCTAGCCAGTACATTTTTTAGCCTGATTCTGTCCTGACTCGTGCTGGGTCCGGGACCTACCTCTGCTGCGGCTCTGCATTTAAAGTATATTAAGAACCACATGGGCAGGCAGCCCGGCTCAGTTCTGGCTCGCACCAAGTCCAGGAGCTCAGCTGCCACCAGACAGGGGCTGCTGCCACCCTGAGTTGCTGCCTCTATGTCCAAAGCTGCAGTGCAGGGTGACAAGCAGCTAGTCCCCGAGGAGAGCTGATTTTTAAACTGTGTCCCCTCGCAGTCTAGTTCCTGCCTGGTACCCCGTGCTGCTGCCTCTGATACAGAAGCAGCAGCACGGAGTGGCCGGGGGCTACTTGGGAGTGGGACTGGAATGCACTGGCTGCCAGCCCCACCTGGGGACTAGAGAATAGTTGAGTAACCAATAAGAATTCGTGAGGTTAATCGACAATTCAGTTAACCGATATTTAACATCCCTACTGGTCACTATTCAGCTCCCAGATCAAGCAACATGCTAGGGGGTTCTGGGCTGTATCATTTTGATGAGACAAACCATGGCCAAGCCCTGGTAGGTATTAAAGATCCAGCGATCCTTTCCTGAGTGTAGTGGACTTGGC